GTCTCAGGAACTTTTTAGGTGGATGTGGTGGCAAATGCCTATAATCCAAGTTCACAGGAATTCTACAAAGCCAAGAAGGATCAGGAATTCAAGGTCATCATCTGCTACACAGCAACTCCAAGACTGCTCTGGGCTACATCAAACTCTGTCTCAAGAGAGAGAGATTAATTACATAGAAAAGTGTCTTTTTATCATTATACTTGATCCATGTGCTATTCAATATTGAAAAATAAAACATATATATGCATTACACATATATGCATTACCTGCCCCATGTAGGTACTTCTAGCATTTATGTAAAGCCTTCTTCTTCTTCTTTTCCTATGAAAGATATAAATTGCCAGGATGTGGTGGCAAATGCCTTTAATCCCAGCACTCAGGAGGCAGAGGCAGGAGGATCTCTGTGAGTTCAAAGCCAGCCTGGTCTTCAGAGTGAGTTCCAGGACAGGCTCCAAAGCTACACAGAGAAAAACCCTGTCTTGAAAAACAAAAACAAAAAAGAAAGAAAAGAAAAAAGAATATTGTATGTCCTTAGATCATCACTAAAAACTTCCCAATGTTAAGAAAAAAGTACAGAAGAAACAACACTCTTATTTACTTATAAGGACATGTGCCTAAAATATATTAAGTGTCTTATCTGTTGGCAAAAGGTTGTGGTTGGTTCCTGTTAGGAAAACCCCACATTTGGAAAGCAGGTCTCCATCTCTGGTAGCAGAGAAAGGACAAGAAACAGCGTGCTCTACAGAAAGATGTGTGAGTGGTGAAATCGGAGAACTTAGAAGATACTGACATTATTAGGAAGACAGTGAAGATCCTGTTCCAGGAGCCTGTAACTGCCACTTGAACACAAGGGAGGGGGTGACTTTTTGTTCCAACCATTAATGTAAGTATTATGGTCCTTAAGTGGTGATATATAATGTTCCTAATGGCAGTGCACATAGCTGGGGCCGAGTGAGGATTAGATACAACACAGCGGGCTCAGTAAGCAGCTAAAAAATCATTGGCCAGGGAAAAGTTAGGTACAGGATGACCTGATTTTCTAGAGAACAGCATGACAAGGTAGGCCAAGCAGGGGGAGGAAATCAGGGGCCAGGGTGGATGACAGAATAAATACAGAATGGACCAAGTGGTGGCTGCCTGTGAAGAGTGAAGTCCATCCATCTTACAGCACTATCCTCCTAGCTATCCGTATTTCCAGCACCACTCAGCCGCTGTATTGTTGTTGTTTTATTATTATTATAGTGCCAGGAAATCAGAATATATTAGTATTGATGTTTAATAAGGATCAGGAGAAACAAATAGGTCAAATAGGTGTTTATTCAGGGAGAAATAACTCACAACATAGACAGATGAACACCAGCAGGTTCCTGGTCCCAAGGGTGCCTCCAGATCTACTCCTGTCCATGTACTGCAAGAAAGAGAGCTCTCCAAGCCCCCTCCTCAGCCTTAGTTCTCCCAGGTCACATCCAGCCCTGTCTCCACCCCCAATGGGCGTGGTATATGCCACAGGTGCGGACAAGGTGAATAACTCACTACAATTTCCCTTTTAGCCTAAAGAAAAGATTTACCCTAGATACAAAAGCTATATACGAAACAGTGAATAACAAGTGTGCCCTAAGAAAAGGAAAATCAAGAACATACAAACTTAAGACCTAACTATCTAGTCCTAGGGTGAGGTCGAAACAGAGTTTACAATAGAGTTGTCCTAAGCTAATATATCTAACTAGGAAGAGAGAATAATAATTGTGATAATTTAATCTTCAACCTCCTCAAAGACCTGAGAAGGAAAATAATAATACTAGGGTAGGCAGGAAGTGCGGATGGGCAACTTCCAAAAGGTGCAGCAAGGACAGAAACAGCAGGCTACCTGGACAGTCACCCTAGGTCTCACAGCAATGTTGGTACAGCCAGTTTTGGCTAAGGCCTAGAGTACCTGACAGACCACAACAAAAGCAGGGAGGTAAAAAGGCTGTCTTACCCTGACTTGGCAGGGTTTATAAGTCTTCTGTTTGTCTCCTGCAAGCACATAGGACCGCATGTCCAAAATACTGGTCGAAGTGGGGCCAGTTCTTTGCCCAAGAGGCCATAGCTGAAGCAAGGATGGACTCCAGAAGGAGCAACAACAGTGTCCAACATGTTTCAGGAAGGTGCATGGTGCTGTCAGGAGCAATAGTGTCTCATGTCAATGGAGTACTAATATTTAAAAAGCCACTTAAAGATGGGAAGCAGTGAGTGCCTTCTCAGGGCTGCTGTGGAGGTAAAGGAGTTGTAGGGCAGAGGCAAATGTCCCACAAGCTGTGGTGTGTCCACAAGTTAGGCAAGAGTCCCTGCCTGTTCAGGGATGGTGGGGGGAAGGGAGCGGTGTCTGCCACCTAGGTGGAAACCAGGTCCAGTGAAAATCCAGATCCCGCTTCTGACACCAGATATTGATGTTTAATAAGGATCAGGAGAAACAAATAGGCTGAATAAATGTTTATTCAGGGAGAAATAACTCACAACATAGACAGATGAACACCAGCAGGTTCCTGGTCCCAAGGATGCCTCCAGATCTACTCCTGTCCCTGTGCTGCAAGCAAGAGAGCTCTCCAAGCCCCCTCCTCAGCCTTAGTTCTCCCAGGTCACATCTGGTCCTGTCTCCACCCCCAAAGGGCGTGGCCTATGCCACAGGTGCGGACAAGGTGAATATCTCACTACATATTAGTAACAAAAGTGCTTCACATACAGGGTAGATAGCTTCAGGAATAAAAGACATTAATTAAATTAGGTTATGTCCAGAAAATCCAAGCCACTGGCAGTTACATGGTGACAGATGCATACTTCCATTTGCATTATTTGTTTTCCAGAAGGGAGAAGAAATGTGACACCAAAAACAAATGGCTTGCCAATGACAGCCTTACCTACAGGTAGATCTCAGACAGGTTGAAGTTACTTTGCTGGGTCCAAGACTTAGTTCCCCAAATGCTGACAGATAAACGTGTGTTCATATAATTCATCTAACAATGAGTAAATTTAAGACCTGTGTTTCTTAGCTTTGCACCCAAAGCCACTTCCATATCCCCACCAGGACTGATACTACATTTCCTCATATCCTACCTGTCAGCTCTGTCTGTCACTGTTGCTGTCTCTAGCCCACCCCTACCAGTCTTCACCATCCCTTCTGCTCTACTGCAAAGAGCTGCAAGCCAGCCTCTGCCTATTCTCCAGTCCCCTTGTGATAGATAGCATGACAAATATGTTTTGTTTTCCTACCACAGAGCCTGGATCACAGCTCCCATAATAACCCTCGTTATTTTCCTGAATGACTAGGACAATGAGCATGTGTTTTGTTGAAGCATAATAATTGGCATCTCATCCTTAGTGGCTGAAGTGGTTTCAGAGGAATAAAAGTGAAAAACAGTCCTTTTCTTACAGCATAGAAGGTAGTTTGGGACTCCAGGAGTGAACCACAGAGCAGTCTCTCTCTAACTTACTCCTTTTTCTGTGCAAGGTGAGCCACAGAAGAATTTCTCTTCCCCAAAGAGAATCATAGGCCTTTCTGCCTTGGAACTAGCCATATAGAAATTCTCCAACAGCCAGTAATGTGGTGCTCATTTTGCAAGGGCCCTGAGCCCTAGAGGAAGGAATGCTGCATGGTGAAGCCAAGGAGACTCTGCACACACATCCCTGCCAGGTTCCTAGCTGTGTTTGTTAGCATTAGCTCCTACTGTGTCCAATCATCTTCCCACACTGGCATTCATACTTCAGTCCTACTTACCCAAAGAAATCTTTACAAAACCCTAAAGGACCGGGCTGGGAGGATTTATCAGCTGAACACATAGAGGCTTACAAGATGAACAAGAATTCATTTAGGTGATGAGATGGCATCCCATCCCAACTCCAGGATGAGATCTCATGCTTGAGATGCTTCTTGACTTTTATCCCATGTGTTGCTTCATCTGGCTGCTTATTTGTATCCTTTACAATATTTTTACAATAAAGCAACAAATGTCTTTCCCTGAGTTCCTTGAGTTCTTTGAGCCCCTCTAGCAAATTAATCAGCACAAAGGAGGAGCCCTGAGAACCTCAGTCTGTGGCCAATTGATCAGAAGTTCCAAAGGCCCAAGCTCGCAGCTGGTACCTCATCTGGGCACAAGCTTGGGGCATGAGCCCAGAGTCGGGGAAATCTGTTGCTATCACCAGACTGACAGCATTGGAGCTGAACTGATTTAGAGGAACTCCCTCTAGCATTTACTCCAGGGGTGATAGCTGCTAGCCAGTGGAGGGAAAACCCTGAAAGTTCATAGAAGGATCTGTGTTGTGACCATGTCATAGTGAAACTGAGTTTAAGGTTTGTTTTCCTCTACAATATCAGACCCCTACAATTTATTCTCCCCACACAACAGATTCCTGTATTTATAACTCATTCAGAGCTACGTTTTTGGGGGGAAGGACTCTGGAGAGATGGCTCAATTGTTAAGAGCATATATTGTTCTTATAGAGGACTTGAGTTCAGTTCCCAGCACTAACATCTGGCAGCTCACAACTGCCTGTTACTACAGTTTATTCTGGACTCTGTGAGCACTACTTTCATGAGCACACATCATCCCCATGCACACAGCACACACACACACACACACACACACACACACACACACTCAATTAAAAAGAAAAGAACATGTAAACAAGAGAAAGGCCTTCAAATACGTGTTAGGGAGAATTTGAAACCACAATTATCTGTTTTTTTCTTTTTGTAGAATATGTCAAACCTCAGGCATCACAATATATCCCTGCATTTTGTATCTCCAGCTTCTATAGGTTTTAACCTAAAAATCATGGTATCATTGCACCTAACAAAATAAATAATAATATTATTGAGTTCCTGGGCTTGTTCCAAAGATGTTTTTGAAAGGATGTAAATGAGACGGGACACGGTGCCTTCTTTCCTTCCTCAGGCTCTTTTATTCTGTAACAGCCCTCCTCCTGTGTGTTCATGCCATTGTTCTCTTTGAAATATAAACAAGATCCTTCTTGTGATTCATAAATGTGATGATTGAGTTTTTGTGTCACCATGAGGAATAGGCTTCTCTCAGACTGTGTTACAACAGCAGGACATTATTTGTCTGACATGTTAAAAAGGAAAGAAATAAAATATAAATGGGATCTGGTCAGTCTAGGCTTAATCACTGCCACAACAGACTCTTTATTCTTGCAGACAGCTTAAAACCCTCACCACACCCTAGGCCCCTCCTGATGGCTGCCTGGCTACTTCTCAAAGACTCTCCAGCACAATCTATCCAAAACCTGGTTTTATCCAGGATTCTGTACTCACTTTTCCAACTGCCCAGAAAGCTTTATCCTCTCCACATCTTGTGGAAGTGGCTTCATGCCCAGGTGCCTGGTAGGAAATAGATGACACCCCTGATGACATGTTATAAATGAGCTCTTCTTCCCCCAGGCTGCCCTCTACCACACCACCTTGCTCCCATTTCTTCATGGAGTTTATTGCTGTCTGAAATTACATTCTCCATAATGCATTTGCTGCCCAGTATAATGGGATGCTAGAATACAAACTCCTTGGCTAAACACTGAAGAAATAAATGTTAACTATCAAGGCTAGGTAACCATCTATAAAAATTTACAAAGGAAATGGTCATAAATCCTTTCCTGATTATTGGTGCCTTCAGCTAAAACTGCAGGAAAACAAAAGGGGAGTTTTTGGAAGATTTCCTTGGAAGGAGTTTTTGCTGTCCTGAGAGGCATGTGGGTATTGAAGAGGCAGGGCCATTTAGAGACATTACAGTCTGCTTTCTGTGGTCAGTGAGATAGGAGCTGCACATCAGATATGAGACTATATTTGAGTCTTTCCAGAGAAGACTAAAGTGGGTACCCTGGGAAAACAGGAGAGCTCAATCTGCATCTACAAAGCTTGCTGTGCTAAGAGATACTTGAGTATTTGCTATGGACTTGTGCCGACTGTCTCAGTCATTCTGGGGCCATTATATCTGAATACTTGAGACTAAGAAGTCAATAAAGAACAGAACTCTTGGTCTCAATGTGGTGGATGCTGAGAAGCCAAAGATCAAAGTGCTGGCAGGAATGGGTATGTCATGAGTATCCATGAGTATAGCACACTTTGGAGGAAGGAGAGGGAGAAAGGCCATTTTCCATATGGCAGAAGAACAAACTAGAGAGAGGGCCTGTTCCCACAAGTCCATCTCATGGTGTAAGACCCTCAGAATGAGGAGTCTTCCAGGTTCGGTCGATACCCCAAGAACTCAATGTCCAGGCCAGTTGCTGCAAAATGCAAGAGGCTTTAATGAACAGGAAACGTTTCAAAACGGGCTCCTCCAGCACACAGGGTAGAGAGAAGCCCCCTCCCCTGGGCCCAGGTGTTTTTAAAGGCAAACCCACTAACTAGCTTAGGGAGGGGTGGGACCCTCTGTCCATTGAGTATGTGACCCTTGGAGGCTGGATGGTCTGCTATTAGGGTCAACAGACCTTAGGGCCTCAGGGTGTGCTAATTAATCTTGTCTGGGCAAACCAGAGTTACAGCTATCTCTTTGTTTTCTAAGGACCCTATTTACCACCTGTTGACTCACAGGAAAGGAGGGGCAGTGTGAATTCTTGTCATCTCAGGACCTGGTGAGAGGAAGCTAGCAAATTCCAAGGAACAGATACTGGTTAGCTTTCCAGATCAGACAGTCCTTCATTTAACTTCACTTTTTGGTCTTTCGTTGGCAGTATTAATCTTTTTACAGGGCAGAGCTAACACCTAAATCCTCCCTGAAGCCCACCTGTCAGGAATGCAAAATTGGCAATCTAATTTCCAACATGTAAATGTTGGGATACACACAAACTATACCCTGAGCCATGCAAGATTTATTAGGAAAGGATTGCCAGGTTCTGGGTTCCTAGAGGTGCAAGGACCCCAGCTAAGGCCTGTTCTTCCTACAAGATGAGGAAGAGTAAGCATTACTCACCAGAAGCGTACAGAGAGACTCAGCTGGGACCATCTGCAGGTCCCACACACAAAGAACACACACATCCTTGCTACTCTCCACACACATGTGAATTCCACCCTCTATAGGAAGTAAAGTACCAGCCAGGGAGAGGGGCAGATGAGAAGGATGTAAATAAGAGGAAGCAGAAGCTGGCTATATCCACGTTCCAGGAGTCCAAAGGTAATCTGCAATTATTCAAAGGTGCTGACTCAACCTCTAGATAGAACTGAAGGATCTTCTTAAAATATATAATCCTTTTTAGAGCTCCAGCATACATACATACATACATACATACATACATACATACATACATACATATTCCCTTTCTCTTAATTTTATTTCATGCTTTAGATTTTTGAGACAGGGTCCCAGGTTATCCTAGGCTGGCCTCTAACTCACTGTACAGCCAGCGATGACCTTCAATTGCTGATTCTCCTGTTCCCACATCCCAAGAGCTGGGGTTACAGCTGTGCATCAGGATGCTTGGTTGGTATGCATCGCTGGGGATTCGATTCAGGGCTTTATGAAGGCTAGACATGCACTCTACCAACTAGGCTACACCCCCAGCCCCAAACTGAAGCATCTAATTATTGCCTCTCTCTGGTCATTTGATTGTTTTTATCTTTATTTTTTTTTTACGTGTGTGTGTGTGTGTGTGTGTGTGTGTGTGTGTGTGTGTGTGTGTGTGCCCACGAAGGCCAGGAGAGGGCAACAGATCCCCAGGAGCTGGTGTTATAGCCTGTTGTGAGTAAACTGGAGAGTGCTAACACCCAAGCTCTGATCTTCTGGAAGAGCTGTAAGCATTCTTAACCGCTGAGCCATCTCTTCAGCCCCTTGCTTCAGTTTTTAAACCGAGGCTGTCTATCATCTACACACTGGCAGAAGAGCTGTAGGATCTGCCCACATTTCCCTTACAGTAACAGATTGCCATCCTGAGCTGACATCAAACAGGCAGTAGAAACTGAAAGCTAGCTCAGTTTGGATGTTGCACAGTCAGTACTTAGCCTGACAGCTTGTCTCTGTCTACTAGCTTATGGGCCTCCCAAGACTGGACTCTGTCACCTTGATATTGCATCGTCATAGCTAGAATGAAGGTCTCACATCCCACAATGATGTTAAAGCATCAGAGTGCTGGAGAGATGGCTCAGCGGTTAAGAGCACTGGCTGCTCTTCCAGAAGATGGGGGTTCAATTCCTAGTACCTACATGGTAGCTCACAATTGCCTTTAACTCCAGTTTCAGGGGATCTGATGCCCTCACACAGACATACATGTAGGCCAAACACCAGTGCACATAAAATAAAGATAAATAAATAATTCTTAAAAGGTTAAAAAAAGAAAATATAAATAAAAAGGATTTAAGATATCATCCTGATTGATCAGGAGACTCATTATTAGATTCCCAGTTATGATCTTCCAATAGCAGAGCTTCTGCTCTGAGGTTCATTGAAAGTTATTAGGATAGTTGTCTCATATAAGTTGTCATGACAACCCCACATAATTTGATTGGGTTAACAAAAAGCTATATTTCTTGTTCATGAAAGATCCAAAAGTAACATTTTTAAGCTGTTCTCCTCCAGCAGTGGCTCAGGGATCCAGATTCTTGCTTTCTTGCCACAGTGTTATTATGGGTATCATGTGGTTTCCAAGGTTCCTGGAGAGGAAGGCATGGCTGAAATTCATCTCCAGCTCAGAAACGACACAGCCCCCCTTCTGCTTACATTATTGTTTCAGTCAGGCCTAGTCTTCTTAGAGTATTTTGGTGTTTGGCTAGACAGCTCCATTCTCACAGTACTCTTCTCCTCCTCCTCCTCCTCCTCATTCTTCTTCTTCTCCTTCTCCTTCTCCTCCTCCTCCTCCTTCTCCTCCTCCTTCTTTTTTTTGAGACAGGTTTTTTCTGTATTGCTTTGAAGCCTGTCCTGGAACTAGCTCTGTAGACCAGGCTGGTCTTAAACTCATAGAGATCTGCCTGCCCTGTTTCCCGAGTGCTGGGAGTAAAGGTGTGTGCCACCACCACCCAGCTCTCATAGCACTTCTAATAGTAGAAATAGAGCTTGTGTCTTGGAGGGTCAATTAGCATCCTGCATGGAAAGACTGGAGAGGTGGCTCAGCGGCTAAGTGCTCTTACAGAGGACCTGAGTTGGATTCCTAGCATCCACATCAGGTGGATCACAACTGCCTGTAACTCCAGTTCCAGGGGATCCAATGTCCTCTTCAGGCCTCTGAAGGCACTGTATTCATGTGCACAAACCCATACTCAGACAGAGACATACACTTTCAATTTAAATAAAAAATAAAACATTTCCAAAAAAAATAAGTTCTTCAGTAGAACTGAACCCAGACCATGGATTTCTGCTAACCCCAGAATCATCTCTCTACTGCCAGCTGTTACTTAGTGTACCTCCCACAAAAGAGCCTACTATCTATAAAATCCCTGGTATTTCACCAGAGGTCTTAGACCAAACACCCACCTGCTACATCAGTAAGGGTGGCCATGCTCACTCTGAAGATCATATCCACTGGCATAGCTGGTCTAGCAGCCAAGGACTGACTCTACTCGGTAGCTTTGCTTTTACCCACACCCCCAGCCTCCAGGAGCCCTGGTTCCTCCATCGCTGTTTGGAGAAAGAACTGGATTCCAAAGCTTGTCAGGTGCAGAGCTGGGACCAAAGCCCACTCGCTTGTCAGCCTTTGCATCACACGTGCTCAGAAATTCCACAAACGGGTTGCTAACCCTGCCACTCAGCCCCCAGCCACCTGCTCTCCTTAAACCTAGTTTCCATGTCTACCCACTCTGGCTCCTACTTGTGCTTTACAGCTCCCATTCATCAATCAGATCCTTACGCCAAAACTGCTCTCCAACCCTTTTCTGACCAGAGAAATGGTTCTGGGAATGCCTGGCAGCCCAGGTGTGTACCATTCCACCCAGTTTTGTCAGTTCCCTATTTAACAGTTCAAGACCAAGTAAGAGATCTCACTCGGGAGTAGCTGGTGTTAGTCAAAGGATGCTGGTGTGTTTGGCTACCACAGAAAATCTGTTAGAGAGGCTCACCTATATGTGGCCAGAAAAGTTCCTCAGTGATCAGAGACCCCTAGCAGTTCTAGAGGCTTCTCAGCATCTTAATAC